CCTACGCAGGCTCCCCATGAGCGTGGAGCCCCTCCCAGAGGCCACTGTGGACACGTTCCAGGGTCAAGGAGCACGCTTACAGCTCCACAGGGACCAGAAATCGAGGCGCCTTCTTTCCTTTGCTCGGAAGCAGGGACAGAATTGGGCTCCTTGTTCTGCTGTGGCCAAAAGTACAGTCTTCAGTAATCTTGATGGTGTTGCCAGACTTCTCTTCATTTTAGAAAGGCATGTTCTCAACGCTGAAGAGTTAGGCCCTTGTTACCCCTCAGTTGGCGGCTTTTTTCTTCTCTCCCTCAAAGACCAAGGATGCTGTCATATCTTGGAAGAGAGTTGTCTGAGATTAGCCTGGCTCCCTAATGGGAATTTCTCTTCCATCTTCAGGTACCAGGCCCACCCCAGGTGAGGCCTCATCTCGAAGACAAGGCTATTCATGTTCCTCTCTTCCAGGGATGCCTGGGTTCCCATAGTGGGCCTTTCAGCAATATCGATGCCATCCTTCTCTCTTGTGAGGCCTCCTTGTTGGTGAGGCAACATGGCCTGTTGACCTGACTGGTATTTGCAGCCATTCCCACAGCAGGCATTTGAGAAAAGCAGCCTGAGTTCTAATGAGAACCCAGCTTCTGGCTGAGCTGTTGTACACACCACAGGGCCTCTCTGTGGCTGAGTCATCCAAACTCTAAAAGGGAACAGAAGTCAGCGTAATTGGAAACTTCGTCCCGTTGGTAAAGATCAGCAGGTAAATACAGAGCATATAAAAGATGGGTGTAGCATTATTATCAAAAATGAGAAGACAGACTGCAGAAAGATCTAGAAGGAGCTTCACAAAAGATGAACACTGTGGTACAGGGGCCCAGTGTCTGCACATGGATGGTGGTGCTTTCTCCCAGAAACCTCCTGCCCTTTGGGCTTATCTTCTGTTTTCTTCATGGGCTTCTCTTCCCACGCCTTCCCCTAAAAGTCTGGCACTGCCAGGACTCCCCACCACCACCCTCCTATTTTCACTTGATGCTCTTTCCCTAAGTGACCTCACCCATTTTCACAGCTAACATAACCGTCATGTGCTACTGATGAGGAAAATGGTTGTCTGACTCCAACTTTCTTCAGAGCAGTTGACATCTCCACCTGCTGAGCCAAAGGCAATGGCACTCAACTGATCTAAAGTGGAGTTCACCATCTCCCTCTTCTCACCCTAAGCCTGCTGCTCCCCTGAATTTTCTGTCTTCTCTGACTATCTCTCCAAACCTGAATCAAAGGAACCATTCTGATCAGGCTCCTTTCTCTCTCTGACTCCCTACTCTTTCCTTATCTTCAAGGATTATCAATTCACTCCCTTTCCTTCTCTGTCACTGCCCTCCCCAGCTATCTCCAAGGGCTTGGACTCATCTCCTGGACTCCATTCTCACAATCCTCCAGTCCAGCCTCTCCATTGACAATCGTCATCTTTCTAACATACTCATCTGACTAAGCCTCTGCTGCTCGATTCAGCAGCTTCTCATCACACATAAGATGAAGTCTACCCTCTCTGTTTCAGCATTGCAGATCTCAGTCATCTGACCCCTGGCTATTTGCCCTGCCTTGTGTCTAGCCGTTCTCTATCATTCACCCAAATATGTGCTCGACCCCAAAGGCTCTCTTAGACATGCTCTTTGTTTATACGCTGTTCTGATTTCCCGTGATGGCTTCCTCAATATGGTCTGCCCAGTGATTACAGTTTTACTGCTACTGTGTAGCTATCCCAAGCCCAGTTCCACGCCCCCTAGAATGTTGAGTAGATTTAGCATTTGTTCTGCAGCTATTATAATTTTTTCTTTCTAGATTAAAAGTTCCTTGATGGCAAGGACATGTTTTCTTCACAGAGTTTGGCCTCCATAGAAGGCATTCAATAATTGTGGAGTGAGCAAATATTAGGATGCCCACACCTGGCATGGAAGTCATCCCAGCACATAACAAAGCATATTTCTCTCACACACTGTATAAGGGAGTGACTTCCTAGTCTGGGACTAGGCTAGAGTGTCCATCAGAAGCAGCCTAGATGAAGCTTAAATGGCAGTGTGCCAGCCAGAAATGGGAGGCCAGGAGGCATGTACTCCTTCAATTACACATCAGCCCCTGTTTCTCCCCACTTCTCTGTGTCTACCAATCATAGTTCCAGCTTTGCAGAATGAAAAAGGAAGGTCTGAGGTTATGCTAGGTGATTCTCAGCTTTGCATGTAACCATGTGGCATCTGGACCATGAACAAGTACCTGAGCTTTTAGTTAGAATTCATTTCTGACCAATGTCTTACAGAACCTAGCATCTAAGTATTGGAATGAATTCCTGGCTTGGGAGGAATCAAACAGGGAGGGCACTCTGTTCTCTGGTTTGTTTTCCTTTTAATGGTGTTTTGTTTTCATCCTTGGCAAAGGAAGGTGCCTTGCCGCCAACCAGCGAATGAAGGTTAGTAGGCTATGTTCTTGAGAACTGGGATTTCCTTTTTGTTCATCAGTTCACTTTGCAGGAAAGGAGAGCTGTTTTAGCGCCCAGCACTGAGCAAGGCACTGAGGTGCTTGCTGCACAAGCAGAGTCACATGTACCTGCTCCAGAGACTAGAGCCAAGAAGAGCTTACACTTCCCACAAACATATCCAGAAATAAGGCTTCAGGAAGGCCTACGTCTCCATGCTCTGAAGTTGTGTAGGAACGTCTTCTAGAAAAGGAGCTCCCAGTGACCTGGATTTTGACAATAGGAGTGAGGCAGGCTCTTTCTTTCCTCTAACCAAGGGGACTCTGCTGTCAAATACTTTTATGGAAAGAGACTAGCTCTGATTAAACTGAGATTTGCCCAAGAATTGTACCTCAATCTCTCTGACTCAAAACACTACATTGTCACCTTGGCTTATAAAGCACCCAGTTTTCAACATGATTTAGTAGCTCTGCATTTTGTTTGTTTGATCATGAGTGGATTTTGCATGATTAAGCTATAGGGAACCTAGTGAAAATTTGGCCCATGAAGTTGCTCCATATTCTTTTGTGGTGAATTATGCTCAAATGTGGCATAGGGTTACCCAGACTCCTTTGAGTCATAATCATTTAGTTTTCTAAGCAGCGACTTGGGGCTTTTCAATGATCTAAGGAGCAATCATGAACCCTGGTAACAAAGCAGTAGCATGTCATTGGCCTAAAAGCTGGTGCTGTGATTATTTGCTGCTCACTCTGCAGAACTATGAGCATCGTTTTAACTGCAACAAAAACACGGTGAAAATAAAATCTGATAAAATAGCTCCAGGATGTCGCAGGAGGAAAAGCACCTTCTGAGCTGGCATGTCCTGGACTCTTGATCCAGTTTCAGTTTGAGTTGAGGAGGATGTAAGGGGTTGGTACTATGTGCCTGAGGAAGACCTGTCTTTTTGTGGTTAATGATGATCCCAGAGAGAATCCACTTGTCACAGTAAAATGAAGGGCTCCAAGCACAGAATCAAGTAATTTCTTGCCTGAGATGACTGAATCTGTTCTTAAAATGCCATTGGATACCCAATTCTATTTCTCCAGAAATTCTCCATCCTTGACCTTCCTGCTACTGCAAAACAAAGGATTACCTCACCAGACTACCCTCCCCGCCTATATCTTTGAGTTTCAGGAAGTCATCCCATACTCTCATTTCCTAAGCTTAGGAGGCAGGGCCTGATTTCAGAGTAGGCCAGGCCTCTTTAATCAACCCCAGTTACCTGCTTTAAACATTGAAAAATTGGAAAGTTTCCACTTATTTTGGAGTGTTTGTGCTCTCTGTCAGTGCCTCAGAACAAAGCACTTAGCAATAGACAGTGTCTTGCGATCAGCATGGTTAGAAATGGATAGTATGTTGTAGAAGGCATGAATAACTTTCACCAGTGCTTCAGCATTTCAGAGTACTTTGCAGTCACTGTTTACTCAGCCCTCCCACTGATAGGCTGTTTGGTCCTCGTTTTACATGAAGTTGATACAATGTAGGAAAAGCTGGGGCTCAGGAGACCTGGTCCTCTTCCCATTTCACCACACTTGGTGATCTAGAATTAATGACTTCATCTTGCCATCGGTCTGAGTCAGGGGTTGGAGAAGATTATTCTAGAGACTTCTAAATTTGTTCTGGTTGTAGCAAGGTGATAATTCTCCTGTGGACTTTCAATGGTTACTATTAATTTTCCTAATTCTAGAATTCCAAAGTTGGGGCTTAATTTGGATGTGTTTAGGAATTTCCATTATCCTATGATCTAACCTGATGTATAAGTGCTTGACATTCAAGGAAAATGTCAGAGGCATCCAGATGCATCCCATGGCTTGGAAAAATGGGCAGTGTGCGTGTACATACACACACACACACACACTAGTTTGGAGTTCAGTATGCCCTTTTCCCACGGGAGTATAGGAAGGAAGGAGAGTGATCAGGCTAAGAATGAAAACAGCTCCATCGCTGGTGGTGATGGGGTGTCTTGGCTTCCTGGTTTCCCTCTCATTGGAGAAGTGGAAGAAATAGCATGTGGAGATCTGCACTGAACCTCAAGAGGAATTTATCTTGAGGACGAAGCCTCATCAAACGTAGCTTTAACATTTTAAGTCATTTCTTTCCAAATCAGTAATGAAGTAGTCTGGCTAAAGCAGTGGCCAGTTTTGGGGTCATTTCCTTTTTGGAAATCTTACAGAAGCTATGGATGTTTCTCTGCCAGAAAACGACCCATATTTTCATAGATTGGGATGTAATTTTAGGGAATTCTTATATGCCCTGAAGCCCATGGACCCCAAGTTAGCAATCCCCTCCTCTCAAGTGGAATAAGTGAGTCAGTGGGGCTAGACTGAGAAGATCAGGGCTAGACCCAGACTTCTAAGCCCATAATTTCTGCCAAAATTAAACAAAGTTGTTGTTTTTTTTTTTCTTTTTTCCCTCTGACCATCACCCTCTTTTTCTTTCTCTATCCCCACACCTTTTGTCATCTCTTCCCATGCCCTCTCAATGTCTCTCCCCACCTCCTGCGCATCTTGCACCACAGATGTTCCAGCTTGGTTAAAGAGCCTCCGCCTTCACAAGTATGCTGCGCTGTTCTCCCAGATGACCTACGAGGAGATGATGGCCCTCACCGAGTGCCAGCTGGAGGCTCAGGTATGTGCTCCAGGGACTGTCCCCTGAGAAGGTGCCCTGGGTGGAACTTGAGGTTCAAGGCCAAGACAGAGCTTATTTGGACCCATACCTACACCTTCCCAGTCGGAATTGTCAGGTTCTGGCCAGGGTTGCATGGTGAGTAAGGCTAGGGTCTTGCCTTTAGGGTCCAGTAGGAAATGGAAGACAAGCGGATAACCACAGGGAAAATAAGGGCAAGGTAGAGCATCGGGAAAAAGGTATAACCTAGGTTCGCTCACTAAGTTTTAGGATGCTAGGGAGGAATCGGCAGCGCCTCTTAGAAGTGGAACAATTGACCAAGGTCTCAAAAGAGCCTGTGTCTGCTTATGTTTTCCTTTCCTCCTTCCCTCTGTCCAACCAGGGTGCGCTTGGGGAATAATAGAACGTTTGATTGTCTGTTGTCCAGTCTAGTTACAAATCAACTAAATTCAAATAATTACTGAGCAGAAGCACCAGGTTACACCTCAACACTTGCACAAAAATCATGTTCTGACTGGTCTTAGCTGAGACTGGTGTAAGCTGCACAATATTTCTCCCCTCTAACCACCTTCAATAACGCAGGACAGTTATTGAGATGGGATTCCCTCAGGTCTCAGATTTCATTTCCCTTCTGTGTACCACAAAGGACAAAGTTCCTCCTCCCTTCTAAGGCATCTTCCCCCAAGTGCCGTGGCCAAAGGCCAGGCCCGTCAACAGAACTCCCGAAACTAAGCATGTTTCCTACCACGCTGTGCTGGAGTAAATAGATCTGACTAATGTCTTTGTTTCCCTTGTTTAAAATGCCATTTGCATGTTTTAAATTGACCTCGGTTTCCTTTGAGTAGTGATTTAAAAGAATTAATGGTCTGCACAGGCTAATAGTACCTCCCCCGCAGGAAGAGGAGATTGTGCCATTTGGGGCATAGCTGGTCTGAACACATACCTCCCAGCAGATCCCTGGACTCCCGGTGCACATCAGTTCCCTCAGTTAACCTCTGCTGGCCTGGCTGAATACCAGTATTGAGATGCAAGACAAAACCCAAAGTCACTGCACATTCTCCGAGAATGAAAGGCACTCGTTTCAACTTCCTAAGGCTTCTCTCACTGCTTTTTCATCTCGGTTGCTCCTTGAGATCCCAGGAATTGATGAGAACTGCCTCTCAGGGCATTTTTTTGTCTTTGGGTCATAGTTGAGAAAAAAAATCTAAGTCATCAAAGTTGTTCGACTTCAGGGGGGAAAAAAAACCAAGAAATAATTGATGCAGAGGGCAATGCCAGAGGCCAGCACAAACTTTTCAGAGTGATTTCATTCACTCTAACCCAGAGTCAAGGCCAAACAGAAATATGTCCCCGGTGCTTCATCTTGAGAATGAGTGCAGTTGTCAGTTGACAAGTTAATTTTGCTAAGTAAAGGAGATGTCACTGGGGTTGCCATCTTTCCCTTTTGTAAGAGGAGTGCTATGAAGAGTTTAAGAAGTTTGTATTAGAGACCTGAGTTCAGAAAGAACCTTCTATTTAGAAATTTGCAGTATATATGGTTAACAAGTGTTAAACTAAACCCTTTAGCTCATCATTGCTGCACAATTGAGAAGGTAAGACCCACCACCCTGTGAATCCTAATCATTAACCTGAAGTGAGGACTGAATTGAAGGTTTAAGTTTCCTGACAAAAATTGCCTGTGTGTTGTGAAACCAGCTGGGACCTGTATTGGATTTCACATCTTCTTGAGACGAGAAACATAGGAAAGATTTGAGGAAGCCATGAGTTAACTCTATGGGGTTGGAACTCCAGGGAACCTGGGAGGTAGCCTGGAAAAGAGAAGTGTGTGACTTAAAAATTATCTATAAAGATGCGCTGGCTGGTTTGGCTCAGTGGGTAGAGCATCGGCTTGTGGACTGAAGGGTCCTGGGTTCAATTCTGGTCAAGGGCGTGTACCTCAGTTGCAGGCTCCAACCCTGGCCTTGGTCGGGGCACACATGGGAAACAAACAATTGTGTGTCTCTCTCATGATGATGTTTCTCTCTCCCTCCCTTCCACTTTTTAAAATTCAATGGAAAAAAATACCTTCAGGTGAGAATTAACAAAAAACAAACAGCCCTAGCTGGTTTGGCTCAGTGGGTAGAGCATCAGCCTGCGGGTTTGATTCCAGTCAAGAGCACATGCCCAGGTTGTGGGCTGGATCCCCAAAAGGGGCATTCAGGAAGTAACTGATTAATGATTCTCATCATTGATGTTTCAGCCTCTCTCTCCCTCTCTGAAATCAATACAAATATATTTTAAAACAACAAAGAAGACTATGAAGGAATTTCATGCAGGGAGGAGTAATTGACTATTACCTCTGAATGGTTACAGCTTTCTCTCGCTCTCCTGAAGGTTACAGCAAAAGACACAAGCTCAGGTGGAGCCAGATGGAGTTAGACTATTAAGCAGGAAGAGCTTTCTAGCAATAGGTGCTAACGGGAGAGACAAGTAGATCTGTTGGTCTGCAAACCTGTAGGAACAAAGCAAACAGTAAAGTACTAAATAGCTCCTAGTCTCTAAGCTAATTCTTAAAAATGGTGTGTGTGTTTTTTTTAAATATAACTTTAATTCAATTACAGAATGTTACCAAAGGTGCAAGGCACAAAATTGTCATCAGTATTCAGAAGCTCAAAGAAAGACAAAACCTCCTGAAGTCTTTGGAAAGGGTAAGTTATTCTCGGCCGAGAGAACGTTCCCACCTTCATCACCGGGAAATGGACCGGGGACAAGTGTCACTGGCAGACCTGACAGAGTATGTCACGTTGTTTCCTTATCAAAGTTGGGGAAATGACATGATTCTGAAGCAAAGCCTCCTGGTTATTCATGCTTCCTGACTACCGAGATGTACTTCTTCCCGGGGTCCAGGCAGCCTGTGACTGGCCATCCCAGGCTCAGAGGAAGTGCTGTCAAATGAATTCTTTGTGTCCATTCCCCTCTGTCTTTTGTGCATGTGGCGAGATTAGAGAAGGGTTCCACAATCAGAGGCTGAAATCCTGACAAAACAGTGCAGAGAGTATGCAGTTCTGCCTCATGGCTGCTCTTCTCCCCTCTCTTCCCCCCCCCCCCCCCCCCCCCCCGCCCCGAACCTGGATTTGAGGAAAGCTGTCCCACATAGGCCAACACCAACAGGTGTGCCCCAGGTTCCACTAGAGGGGATCAAAGTCACTTGGCAGACGGCAGCAGCGCTAGCTCTCCAGAGAATAATTTCACACTTTCACTGAACAACAGAATAGGTCCTCATGACTCGGATAGGAACCATCTCAAAAATGCCAAATGCTGAAAAAGTTTATTCCAGTGTTAAAAGCAGTTATCAGCTGCTGCTGTCCCTCTGTGTTTGCTGTCTAAACACATTCTCATCCTATCTTTGTACCCAGACATCACTCTGGAAATGATGTCATTTTTAGGACTTGGTGACTTTATGATTTCATCTGAGGGCCGGAGGAGAGCAGGCCTGGTTCCACACACAGGGAGCCATCTGCTCTGCCCCAGAGCCGCCAGTCCATGCACTGCCGGTGGGAAGTGGTGGAGTGGAGGTGGGAAGTTCAGTAGTTATCTGCTGCCTGCAGAGCTCCAGTGGTGACCTCCTTAGCTATCTCCCAGGCGCCTTTGGAAAAGAGCAAAGTAGAGGTAGGTAGGGCTAACGCTAGTTTTGTGAGCACATACACATTTTAATGCAGTGGTGGACAAATTCATTGGTCAACAGAGCCAAACATCAACAGTACAACGATTGAAATTTATTTTGAGAGCCGTAAACTGACTTCTGTGCATGGGCCACAAAGTTCAATCGCACTGTATGTGCGCACCCGCACATGGTATTTTGTGGAAGAGCCACACTCAAGGGGCCAAAGAGCCGCATGTGGCTCATGAGCTGCAGCTTGCTGACCACTCTTTTAATGCAATGGAAGGTGCGTTTTCTTAACTTATTCACAGAATGTGTGTATACTTTTACAAGCCATATATAGTTATAGTTAGCCCACACAATAGGAGGTAAGGTATATTTAGAGAATATGCACATATGCTTTCTAAGGAGGGTTGCTTTTAAAGCCTCTGGATGGATACGCAGAGACTACTCACATGCACATCCAGGCCCGTTCACAATTAGTTCATTACCATTGACAAGTGACCTGTGCAACTGACCTTGAGGTTATTGCTGTTTTCAAACTTTTATGCTAACTGCTTCACTAAGCAGCTTGTCCAGGGTGAGAATGTTGCCATTTTTAATACCCTTCTCTTTTGGGAAGCATTGAAAAGGCCGGTGTTGGCCTTCTCTGTTAGGAAGCACAGAGAACATTTTGCGTAGGGATTACATTGCTCAGTGTGATGGTGAAGAGTGATTTGCCCCCCGTATTTTTGGAGCATTCTTCAGGAACTCATTCCTGCCCCATCCCTGAGGAAGCACACACACAGACAGAGGTGGAATGGCTGTGAGCTGTGCTCCCTGGGGTCCGGGGCCGAATCAGTGTGTGGAAGCCCTGATGTGCCCCTGACGTCCCATCTAACTGTTGATATGTCAGTGATGTTTTCTGCGTCCCAGACTTCACACCTACAATAATATTGACTCTGTGATCTCTCCACTGGAATGGGAATGTTGAAAAGATGACAGGTGTGATGCAGAGTCTGAGGGCAGCTACTGGGCAGGATGAGAGCAATGCAGTTTCTCTGGTTTGACTTATTTGAAGAGGAAAGCCTGTGGGTCAGACCATCACACTGAGCTTGCTTCAGAACATCCACGTGCAGCTATTTGCTTAACTGCCCCTTCAGGAGCTCGTGGCCTGGGGGTGGAGTGAACCCCAACTCAGCATCCACCAAGAACAGCCCCCAGCTCTGTTCTCTCTACCCTGGGACTTGGGTCTCTCCTGCTCTTCAAGGGCCATATCGTCCATAACTTATCGCCACTTGGGCCATCAGGGACACCCTGAAACCAGCCATTCCTCAGGCCTCCCAGGCATCCTAGGTTGATTATGCTGTTGGAAATGCCGTCTCCATGGCCTGGCCTCCCACAGCATTCTTACCTCACAGAGAACCTGGGGATTTCTAAGGAGATCGTGGGACCCCGCCCGTGGCTAGTTCACAATCTGTAGTCACTGCAGATGAGCTCTGTGTCCAGAGCCGTTCCGAGCAGTTACTGAACACTTACTTACTCAGCATCTGCCTTGGGCTAGATTTACCCCGGCCACTGGAGGCGAATCCTGAGTAGCACGCAGCTCCTGGCCTTGGGGCCTCGATGCACAGCCAGAGCTCTCACACTCTGGTGTGCTCGGGGCGCATCACCCCTGAGGCAGGTGGGGACGTCTTCCTGGACTGAACACACCACTCTGCAGGGTGAGGAGAGGAGCCTGAGAGGGGCCGGTGCTGGCTGCGAGAGACAGTAGGAGCCCTACAGCCAGTCTCAATGGGCCCTTGAGCCACGGAGGGTGAAGGGTCAGAAAGGCCATTTAGCAGGAGTCCCAGCATTGGTAGGGGGGGCTGTGCCATTTGGGACAAAAGATATGGGAGGGTTCCCAGCGTGGGGAAATGGAGCTCAGTTTGATGGATCGAGGCTGGGGTACCTGTGGAATAGCAAGGCAGAAAGGCAGGTCTGTGACCAGAAGAACAGTCTAGAGTCCACAAGGGTTTGAAAGACTCCGTTGTGGGTCATCTGTATGTAAATAGTAGTTGGTACCCCCAGAAGTGTGTTTTGTGTTAAGAGCTGAGGACAGGCCCTGAGGAGCCACAGGAGGTTTGGAGGAACCAGACACTGGCTGAGCCTGCCCCGAGGGTCAGAGAGAGAGTCTGAAGGAGGGCGTCTAACCGGGCACCATGCACGTTTCAAATACGATGAGGCTTGAACTCTCCCCCTGTAATTGGTTATCAGGAAGTCACCAATAGCCAAAATGAGAAGGGTTTCAAGGAGCTGGGGAGAGACCAAAGGGAAACCCATGAACTGGGGAGTGTAAGTGGGTAATGAGGCTCTGGGGTAAGGACATGTAGACTTCTCAAGATATTTGGTGGAAAAGGGAAGAAATTGGAATGGTCATTGAGGCAGATTTTTTTCAACATTTATCTTTAATAATGAAATGTGTATTCACCATCCTTTTCAGCTGACTGCCAAACTGTGAAGCTCAATCAGATATACTCTGAGGCTGGGACCCTGGCATGGAGAAAGGAGATACATACACACACATACACACACACCCCTACCTATGCCTTTCCATGTTCCCACAGCTCCCGTGTCCTGGAAATACACTTACACCGCATGGGTCCCAGCAACTGTAAGCTTCTTAGGTCAAGGATTCTGCCATATTTGTTTCAAGATTCCCCTATACCTAACGGTGCCTGACTCCAGGTAGGGCTCAGCTGATGTTTGGTGAATGAAAAGGAGAGATGAGGGATTTAAGCATATACAGGAGTCCTGTATATTGTATGGAAGTCAGGTTATTCTCACAGAAAGACAAGGATGGAGCCACGGACACTGGCTGCTGAAGCTCTCTCCCGTATGATTTGCATCTCATTGCTGTTAAATGCCCTGGGAAAGGTTCGTCCATCCTTCCAAAGACTTAAAAGAGCGAGGCCAGGAAGCTGGGACGGTCTGAAAGTAGCTTCCTTCCAGCTGGTCCAGCTTCCAGCTGGTGGCCGCGAAATGGTGGGCCAGCCTTCCTATTACCTGTTCTCACGTGAGCTCCTCAGCTCGGCACATTAGTGAGCACACAGCTTCGTTGTTGCCTTTTTGTGTATACTATAGGATTCCATTTATGGTATGAGGATCAATAGAGAATTGCGTTGAATCCCTGGTTTTGTCAACATGGAGAATTAATTCCAACAGCTGAGGGCACTGATTGAGTCCCATTTGGGCGGTTTCATACTTTCCTGCTCCCCTCGGGCACTCCGTATTGAGTTCTGGAACCATTTTGAGGAGTCAGCATGATGGTCTTCATGCCACATCACGGAAGCTGGCGGTGAAGCGTTACCTTTGAGTCAGTGGCTTGAAGTCTGGGGGCGAGAAACCAAACCAAACTCTGCATGATTCCTGTAAATTCTATTTCCTGAAAGTGTCCAACATTATTCATCATGTTTATAGTTTCCTTTTTGGTGTGGTTGTTTTCCAATAGAATAAGGTAAGATCTGAACTTGGGGCAAGTGTATGTTTCCTGTTTGAAGGAGTTCAGCTCTTAGCATAACCCATATCTGCTTCCCCGTCACTGAATCACTCCAGAGACCTTCTTGCCACATGATGAGAGCAGATGAAGGTCTGGTGGCAGTTGACGATGTCACAGGCCTGCATTTGCTCGCCTCGGTGGTAGATGCCACGTGGGATGGCACGACAAGACGCATGTGATGCCCTTCTGTTTCCATGGGAAGCCTCACTACTTTCTTGTCCTTTCCCTTCCCCACCTCTGTCAGGAGCTGGACACGAAGGTGAGAACCCAGGAGCTGGCTGGGTGGTTGACAGGAACAGGAGGACCCAGAGGCACATAGTTGGGTCAGAACAGGCAGCAATGCTCTCCTGGCATGGGTCAGCTCGCTTCCTCCATGTGCCTTGCCCGGAACCAGTTTACCACATCCAAAGTCAGGGAACCAGTCATGTGACAGTATCAGATTTTGGGAAAAGGCTGGTCCAGTCTGGGCAGCAGGAAAACTGGGAATGATCAGGAGCACCCCAACTCACACATCAGGCTTGCCAGCGCAGGCTGTGGCTGGTCTCACCATGGCCGTATCCACTAGGTGTTGAAAGAAAAATGGACTCGGTCCCCTAAAGAAGGTCGGACAGGGCCCTGGCCAGGATTGAGACGATTCTGGTGGCTACTTAGCATTTCCCTTCCCTCAGGAACCCCGGGTGCCAACTAGGCGAAGGCACAATTCAGGCTCTGCTCCCAGCTCCCTGAACAAAGCAGGTTCCCGCCAATGACAGAGCAGGGCTCTTGGTGTTTTGCTGCCCAGAATTAAAACACGTCTGTCCAAGGCTGCTGTCCTCAGGTTTCCTCTGACTCATGGATTGATTAGAAAGTCTGGGTGCAGAAATGATCACAATCCATATCCTTGTGTTCCTTGACATCGTCAAGCAATTTTTCTCAGTAAGAGAGGATCCCAGGAATGGATTGGTACTCGTGCTTTTAAAGTTGTGTCCTTGCTATTCTGGGCTCTCTGAAGATTAAATCTTCATGAGTAATCAGGGCACTGCTTGTCAGTGTCCTTCCGGGATCCCAGGGCGAAGTTTGCTGTGCAAGCGCTGGGCAGCACTGGGGCAGGGGCTGGGCCACCCACTATGCCAGGGAAGCCCTGCCCCGACCTCCAGCCACAAGTGTGTGAGCCTGTTCTGCACCTCTGGGAGCACTTGGCACGTGGATAAATGTCTGTCAGAATCAACTTCCGTTCCTTTTCCTAATAAACAATCCCCAGTATACCCAACTGCATGTGCAGAAGGATCTAATTTATCAAGTCATATATACATTACATATTATATGTAATTATATACACTATATTATACATGTATCTTACATGTCTTTCTCTCTGAAATGATTCTTCTAAAACATGGCATGCCCCTGCGACAAACCTTCCCTCATTTCCCATTCATTTAGAAGAAATTCTTGCATCCCTGCCCCAGCCTGCAGGCCTCTACACTCAGCTCCCTGTGGCTCCTCGGATCTCATTTTCCACCCTCCCCCCCTCACCCACTGTACTTCACGTGACACAAAAATAGACCTGCAGCTTTACAAGTATTAATATCATTACAACCACCTGATGAGGCAGGTATTATTCTTATCTTCACTTTACACACAGGGGAACAGGCACAGAAGGGTTAAGTCATTTGCCCAAGGTCACACAGCTGTGTCAGAATTTGAAGCCCCACATCCATCCTAGAATCTGTGCTTTAAACCACTACCTTGTGTTTCCTGTATTGTGGGCTGAATGAAGGTTCCTTCACTTAAACCCACTGATACACAGGACAGGAAGCCACCATATGACCCAGCTTTGTTATACAGCTTCTGAAGTATGTGAGTGTAAGCTATCAAAATGCATTTTATAGGAAGACCCCGAAGAAGCAAGAAAAAGAAATGGACCAAAATCATTTTAGTGACCATCTCTAGATAGTAGGTTTTTAGGTGATGTACAATTTCCTCACTGTATATGTCTGTATATGCCAAGTTTTCTACTTGGGCTAATCTATACTAACAAAAGGGTAATGTGCTAATTAGACCGGGAGACCAGACATCCTTCTACCTGACTTCCTTCTGGACAAAGCCATCGGGGGCTGAGGCAAAGGTGGTTAGGGGCGATCAGGCCAGCAGGGGAGGGCAGTTGAAGGCCATGAAGCCAGCCAGGGAGGGCATTTGGGGGCCATGAGGCCAGCAGGGGAGCTGTTAGGTAGCAATCAAGCCGATAGGCAAGTGGTTAGGAGCCAGTGGTCCCGGATTGCAGGAGGGATGCCCTATTGGAGAGGGTTCAGGCTGGATGAGAGACCCCCTATTGCCACCATGCACGAATTTCATGTACTGGGCCTCTAGTATTAGATAAAATTTAAATGGTTGCTTTTCCAATGAATGTATGATGAAGGGCCAGCAGCCATGCGTCCTGTCTGAGAAGAGCTCTGGGCAGGGCAGGGGGAGCATCGGAGGAGGCGGGACACCCTGTCCCTGACCCTAATGGAAGTCTTCTCCCTCTGACCATCTAGGACATCATCGAGGGGGGCAGCCTTCGCATCCCACTCCAGGAGCTGCACCAGATGATCCTGACTCCAATCAAGGCCTACAGCTCCCCGAGCGCCACCCCCGAGGCTCGCCGCCGGGAGCCCCAGGCCCCACACCCGGCTTCACTCATGGGCCCCGAGAGCCAGAGCTCCGACTGCAAAGAGAGTGCCACGGCCCCCGGCGCCACAGCCTCCACCTCAGCTGGCGCCAGCGGCGGGCTCCAGCCACACCATCTGAGCAGCTGTGACGGGGAGCTGGCCGTCGCCCCCCTGCCGGAGGGGGATCTCCCCGGGCAGTTCACGCGTGTCATGGGGAAAGGTAGAGCCTGAATTTCCCCCCGTTTTCCTTCTCTTCTCTCAGCACCACTAACCAGAATTCCCAGTCCCCGAGGGCCTCCCCTGGGTGCTGGAGAAGCTGCCTGCCAGCGTCGATGTCATGAGCCCATTGTACAGATGAGGAAAGTGTGGCTCTGGGAGGCTAAGGAATTTGGATCTGAACTCAGAGCTCTGTGACCCCCAAAGCTCTCTTCCTTAACCTTGTATCCGTCCTCACCTACTCTCCAGCCCAGGCAGCTGGGCCCACCTGGCAGAGCGTCACTGGGCTCTGGACCCCCAGGCTGAAGCAGCAGTTTTCAACCTTTTCATCCAAAGGCACACGTTAGTTACTAAAGTTCTGCAGCACACCAAAAGATATATTTTCTGCCGATATGATGAAAAATGGGAATAATTTTTATCTCTTCATACCGGGCAGCTATTGTTGTGTTGGCTGTTGTCATTTTTTTCCTTCGGCAATCTTAAGGGAAAGGAGGCCAGTGCCCCTGACTAAATAGTCAGGTACTGCATGTTTTACAAATTCTTACGGCACACCAGTGTGCCTCGGCATACATGTTAAAAATCACTGGGCTAAAATCATCCCTTACCATAGATCATGCCGTGTGTGTGTGTGTGTGTGTGTGTGTGTGTCACAACCCACAGGTTGAGAACCACTGGTGTACAGCCTAAGACCATTGGAAAACACAGATATTTTCATTATGATTCATTAACAGTAGTAAAATTACAGTTATGAAGTAGCAACGAAAATAATGTTATGGTTGGGGGTCACCACAACATGAGGAACTGTACTAAAGGGTCACGGCATTAGGAAGGTTGAGGACCACTGATCTAGTGGGTGCTTAGAGCAGATGACCAGAGCCCATGGGTGAAGGGCGATGTGGTGTGGGGGTGGCTACCTGAGTGTGAGGTGCCACACCCACTGCCCCTGTGGCGAGAAGTATTCGGGGCTCTGCCCTCGGGAGGCCTGAACTCCTCGCCCAACTTGTTTATCATGTTTATTAGTAAATGTTTTTATTTTTTTAATATTTTTTTATTGATTGCTTACAGAGAGGAAGGGGAGAGATAGAGAGTTAGAAACATCGATGAGAGAGAAACATTGATCAGCTGCCTCCTGCACACCTCCTACTGGGGATGTGCTGTAACCAAGGTACGTGCTCTTGACCGGAATAGAACCAGGGACCTTTCAGTCCGCAGGCTGACACTCTATCCACTGAGCCAAACTGCTTTTGGCTAGTAAATGCTTTTAAATAAGTTATAAAATAATTGCAAGGTCAACATAAAAAATCAGAGTTACACAAAATGGGAGACAGTGAAAACTCGCCCTCCCACCCCAGGCCCCAGAGGCAACCACTACAAACAGATTAGGAATATCCCCTGGATAACTTTATACAAGCACACACGTGTCCTTTTTACGCACAAATGGGTCTTATTTACATGCTTCTCTGCAGCTTTTTTTTACATTATATAGTTTTAACAGTTCTATCAACACAGTAGCACCAACTCTTTTTTTAATATTTCTATCATACACTAGCACCTACTCATTCTTGCACACTATCCTACAGTATGTATGAACCATAATTTATCTAATGGCCCCAATGAATGGACATCAAAGTGGTTTCCAAGTTTTTGCTGTTACAAACAACGCTATAGTCTTGTGCAGGATTAAGAAGAGGAAAGAAGTCAGAATGCGCAGGTTTCAAGTGTGATTTACTGAGTGCCAGGTATTTCCACTTCTAATTGATGTCTTTTGTCAACAATTTGAAGGGAGCAGAATGGGCTCTACTATTGTGGCCACGAAACCCAGCTGCGTGTGTACTCTGCCCACAGACTCACTCTGCTCTGTCAGCCGCTGCACTTAACCTGAGTGTGTAGGTGAACCTGTGTGTGTGTCTAAGTGCGTGGGTCGCTTTGAGAAATAACCCTCCAGTGACTGAGCAGCAGGCTTCCTGCTCGTGTGTGCCACCCACGCACCTCACATCCTAAAGGATGTGCCAGCTTGATGCCTCCAAACGAGGTGCGCGGTTCATTCATAAAAATCACGGCGCCTGCTCTCTCCTAACACCGATGGCCTTTGCTGCCTTTGAACACCCTCTCCAAAGGAACCTCTTTCAAAGACAGAGCCCGGGACACTGCTGCGTCCTTCCTCCCCCAGCATGTCTGTGTCGGGCCCGGTTGCGGAAGGCTTAATACAGAAAGGTATGCCTGGAATTCATCGACGGGGCTTCTCGGGGCGAGGGCTCCCGTGGTGCCCGGGCCTTTGACTTCAGTGGAATGAGGAGCCTCCCGGCCTTTTTGGTGAGCCTTACGTACAGCCACAGGCACACAGGCCTCTCCGAACGCTGGTCCTGAAAGGAAATCAGAAACAGATCTCAGGGTTAGGAGATGGGTGTGCATTTTTCTAATTCATCTTTTTTTTCTCTCTCTCTCTTTCTTTTAATTCACAGTGTGCACACAGCTCTTGGTCTCCAGACCCGATGAGGAGAATATAAGTTCCTATTTACAGCTCATAGACAAGTGTCTAATTCATGAGGTGAGTCGTGATAGATTTCACAGAGCTTTTTTTTTCTCACTGCTTTTTTTCTCAATGGTTCCTGCGGCGAGATCGTTTGAATCAGCAACACCTTGTTTCCGTGGGGTAGATGCTGAATGGCTCGGGCAGAACTGGCCTGGTGGTCTCAAGCCTGAACAAAGCTGTGTATAGCTTAGTTGTCCCACGGCTCGTCCGGATTGAGCTCTGATGTGAGGGTGCATGCCTGCGAGAAACTTCTGACTCCGGGAGAATCTCGGAGTGACCACGCCTTGGGAGGTGTGCACACACACAGTCCTGCCTCCTAGCCCCCGATGTTCTCGGGTCTTGCAACGCTTTGCCTTGAAATGTTTTGCCCTGGGGCTCAAGGAGATTTGAGGGAGGGATGAGAAAGAGGGTGCCGCTTGCAGTGAGGGTAGTGGGTGAGACAAAGGGGAAGCAGGTTGTCACGTACATGATGATAAAGGCCCTGAGAGGCAGTCTCAGTGTGCCCCAGGGCCCGGATGAGTGGCAGGCACCTGGCCGAGCCGGAAGCAGGGGTTCCGCAGAGAGGCTGCCCCCACCCTCAGCTCAGCTCATCCAAAAGGCAGGCAGAGTCTCACTGCTCGGTGAGGAAGGAGGCAGGAGAGTGCTCCAGGCAGACAGGGCAGCTTTTTGGGGGTTCTGTGTCTCGTTCGGGAAGACCACTGGGAGGAATTCGAGAAGGGAGCCAATTTAAACTAATGAGGAAGCAAAGCAGATCCCTGCTTCCTCTCCCATTCACGCTGAGCAGTGGAGGACAGGTTACCTCCACCCGTTGGCCGTATGACCGTCCTCCGGCCACCTCTGCTTCTTAGTGGGTCCACACTAGCCCCGAAGCTGAGGCCTGAGGCTTATCCCTGGCCTGCCTCTGGCACAAGCTCCCTGCGCATTGCGGCTCTTCTTTTTGCTTCTTTCCACTTTTTCTCCCGCTGCCCAGCGATTCAGTGCAAAGATGACACTGTGGGCTCCTCTGCCGGGTGGAGGCCCAGGCAAGGGGCCTCTCGGTACCAGGAGTCTTGGCAGATAGGAGCTCCGGCCGAGTCCGCTTGCCTGAATTCAGGTCTTATGCTTTGGAAGGGAAAATGTTGTTCAAGCCTCTTTATTATTTCAGTTGAGAAAGAGGAAACGGTCTGTATGATTTTCCACAGCCCCGGGTTGTGTGTGAGAGAAGGCACCCTCCGTGCGGCCCGGCAGGAGGTCGGTCAGCCTGAGCCCGGGACAGGCCTGCCTTCCTCAGCCCCCACGGCTGTCCCACCCCCTGCAAGGGGAGGTGTGGTCACTTCCAAGGCACCTTCCCTCCTGAGATGAAGGACCGGCTCCCTGGAGAAGGAAAAGGGAAGACAGGAAAGGTCTGGATTCTGTATCTGGGACCGGCCACTTCCTCATGGATTGTAAACCCCGGCAATCTCCTGCTTGCCGGTTCTAGGAATCCGAGCGCGTGTCCCCTTAATGAGGCTTTTCATCCAGCCACACAAGCTGCAGGACACATCCTCCTCCAGACAGACGGATTGGTCTGGGCCTGACAGGGACAGAAGACGGAGCAGTGGCTGGCTGGCTGGCTGTGTCTGGGCAGCCTGCAGTGTGGAATCTTCCTTCCAGGGTGGAGGGGGCTGAGGTGTGGTGCCAGGCATCCCAGCCGATGGCGGAGCACAGGAACCAGCCTCCAGCATTTAGCCACGGCCCAGCGCTCCTGCTCCCAGCGGCCCCGCCAGGACTGAGAACCGGCCTGCCCACTCACTCCCACTGCCTGCGGCCTGGCACTAGCTGAGCCTGACACCCAGGTCAGAGTGAGAGAGCTGACCTCTGCTGAGGCTCTTTGCCCCCAAAGGTGGCCAATGTCATGTGTGAACTGGAGTCCCTGGACACACTTTATTTTATTTAAAAAATATTTAATTGATTTTTTTATAGAGAGGAAGAGAGAGGGATAGAGAGTTAGAAACATCGATGAGAGAGAATCATCCATCAGCTGCGTCTTGCACACCCCCTACTGGGGATGTGCCTGCAACCAAGGTACATGCCCTTGACCGGAACTGAACCTGGGACCCTTCAGTCCACAGACCGACGCCCTATCCACTGAGCCAAACCTATTTCGGTCGGACACACTTTGAATGCCCATCTCTCTAGTGAACCATTATCTCCTTTGTCACTTGAAGTTCAGGCTTGTCCTCCAGGCTAGCTCCAGACCAGCTCAGGCCTCTAGTTTTGAGACCTCAAAGTCATGCATTGGGACTGAAGGTGGCTGTTGAACACCAACCGAGACAAACGCTCACATGCCACAACCCGAGGCTGGTCCACGCCACTGAAAATAGCCGGTGAGAGTATCTGTGAGCCGCGTGGGTTGAATCATTACTAAGAGCCAGGCACGTCCTTAAATGTTCTGAGTGCTTTTCCTGTGTTATCCCACTTAGTCCTTCCAGCGTCCATTAGAGGGAGACACTATCACCCTCAGCTTTTAGAAGGAACAGAGTCTCAGGTGGAGGAACTCGCATAAGGGCGTGTGGGCCTTCAGGCCCTCCCGTCTGCATCCAGAGCTTTCCTCTGACCCACTGGCTGGGCCCTCCTCCTCCTCAGCTCGTCTTCACCAGGGTGCCTGCATCTTGGGTCCTCACTTAACATCTGGCTGAATGAGCCAGTCAAAAGCAGAACCTGTCCATCCCTTTCTGAGTCCAGCGGATGCGTTTGCCTTGTCACAGTTCTCAGAGGTCCTTATGTGTGGATGGACACTCACTGAGCATCACCAAAAATGAGAGGAGAACCAGGTGCTCATCTCTCAGCCATGAGACCATCCTGCCCCTCACCTGAGAGGAGGGTCCGCATCTCTCTCTGATGGGGCACCGGGTCCCTTGGTTGGTAACGCTTAATGGTGTCTGGCTAAGGTCAACCAGGGGGAAGCGGTTTGCAAGTCAATAACTTTCCTGCAATATGACTGATATCTTTTTGCTTTTGCTCACATCGCTCTCTTGTGTTTAGGTCCTTAAAGATTAAATGTCATCAGAGGAAAATTAAGCTGTCTTTCTATTCCCCCCCCTTGTTTCAGGAATCTGTTTCCTTCATTGGGAAATAATCATGTAGTCTGTTATTCTAAGTAATAGCTTATTGCTTCTTAAATTTCATGCCTTACTGGCAAAACTACCGAGGCGTATGATCTCCATCACTGCTAATGCTGATCTGTCAGACCCAATGGATTTCCATGGCCTGTGGACCATGGTTCTAGATACTTGACAGGATTCCTGTATTGTGTGTGGGGTCCTCGTCATCTCGAACACTCCACGTCCAGGTGCTGCCTGCAGCAGAATTACCAGGGCACCGACTCCCCTCCAGATCTACTGTCGGGCTCTAGGTGTGGGGAAGAGGCCAGGAATCTGCATTTTAACCATCTCTTTGGGGAAATCTAATAGACCATGAATTTGAGAGTCTGTGCCCTGGAGACAAACAACCTCTGAAAGTCTTTTCCTGGGCCATGGCGCACACAAAGGGACACATGATGTAGATGACAGCATATAACAGGGCAGTAGGCACAACATCCCCCAACACCAGCTTTACTAGAAAAGACTTGAGAAGCCATCACACCTACCCATCTTCCTAAACTTTAGACCATTTCGGTTGGGACATGTGCAATGAGTTTTGAGTAGGGCACCAGATTCTTTAACTGAAGGTTTCTCAGCCCAGCCCTAAATGCAGACTAAACCCCATGTTCTGAAGCCCAGCTGACCACTCAGAATGTCCACACACCATCAAGCGGATTGATTTTTGGAGTGGTTGAGCATTTCCATTGATTATGAAAATGCCGGGGAGGCTGCAGCAGCTAGAGTATTCGGCAATCAATTCTGCAATTTATTCTTGGTTAATAAATAGAGTCCAGAGTGGAGTCAGAGGCAAGAGAAGGTGGGTTTGGGCCTATCAGAAATGCAACCAAAAACAAGGGTTATCAAAACTTTACCCGGCTGGCTTGGCTCAATGGTTTAGCATCAACCTATGAACCAGGAGGTCACAGTTTGACTCCTGGTCAGGGCATATGCTCCGGTTTGGGGCTCCATCCCCAGTGTAGGGCATGCTGGAGGCAGTTAGTTGATCAATGGCTCTCTTCCCATCATTGATGTTTCTGACTCTCTCTCCCTCTCCCTTCCTCTCTGAAATCAATAAATTATATATTAAAAAAAAACACACAATTTAATGCATGTACCTTACCAGACACCTCCAATGCCAAATAATTTGAATTTTCAGTTATGAAACTAACTGCTGTTTGAACCAGCTTGAAAACAGGTGAAAAAAAAAGGCAATCGCAGAGACGCCAATGTTTTCCCCTATTAATTGCATGTTTCTCCTCCTAATGCTAGGCTGCGTCACCCATTAAAAAATCCTGTTTGTTTTTGCAGGCATTTACAGAGACGCAGAAAAAAAGATTGTTGTCATGGAAACAGCAGGTGCAAAAGCTCTTTCGGTCTTTCCCTCGGAAAACCCTTCTAGACATATCAGGATATCGACAGCAAAGAAAGTACGTTGGGATTTCATGGTTTGTACTGCATGGTGACCCCCCAGGTGCCTCGTTGCCTGCCTGGGCTCCTGGGTCAGGACAAGGCGGGGCATTCATTGGTCATCAGGGTGCCCTGTGGCGAGTCCCAAATCGCGTTCCTTCAGCAGGTGGGGCTGGGAAAGGCTGTCAGAGAAAGCATTCCCAGAGGAAGAGTTGGATGTGATCTTTGGTAACTCAATTAACATTGTCAAAGTGACAGCGTCTGTCCGGGTGCGGAGAGTGGATATAATTTAATGAACGCCGGCAGCACACTTGGTGGTTTATCCCCAAAAGGGGGCTCTGAAAGGACAAAACCGGGCTGTTCTCTCAGCACCTTAAGGGGTAGTGTAATTTTTTTTCTCTCTCCTAGCTGCAGACAAGCTAATTATAGTTGGTGGCAGGGTGAAGAGCCCAGTGCTGGTCTATTTTGGTCTGAGTTGCAATCTAAGAGTGGAGCAGTACCATTCTCGATTTCTCACAGTGCTTCAGCTCCTTGGATGCAGTTAAAAATAAGCCTTTTTGTACTCAAGACCCCATTCCCTTGAATTGGCTTTAAATTGAGGAGCCCAGTGGCATAGGAAAGGTGAATTACAGTGCCAATGAATTAAGGAGAAGCGTGGATGAGGCCTTGTACAATGACAGGGAGTTTTGGGGAGACAAGAGAATGATGAGGCGAACATCCTAAAAATACACATTCCATTTATTTTGCATTTTTAAACATGAGCACGTGATGTTTTCACTTGCACCTGAGAAGTTCTGGATTCATTTCTCAGTGCATTTACTTGCATAAGTCTACCTTACAACATCACTGTTTGATATTATTTAAGGTTGAAATTTGTGAAGTCTTTCTTAACGATTAATGTAAAAAATATGAATTGTCCACCCTATACACAACATGGATGCTTATTAAACAAACATTTAACACTTACTATGTGCCAGTTATCCAAGCACGTGGAGAACATTAATACACTGAATCCTGCAACAACCACGTAAGGTCGAGGAGCTGCCGTCAGCCTCGTTTTATGGAGGAGTCGGTAGGCGATGGCAGCCAGGTCAATGCTCTTAACCACTGTGGGTGCCAGGCGGCTCTCGTGGTCTTTGTGCAGAAAAGGTGGGCAGGCCAAGCAATGCTCTTCATTTCCCACTCCCTGGCCCCATGCCCTCTGGGGTGCCTCCTGGCGGGTTGGGCTGGATCAGCTCTGCATCCTGGTGAAAGGCCTGGCCTGCACTTCAGCCCCCTCCCCTGGGGCTGCCCCTTTCCCAGTCTCTCTCTCTCTCTCTCTCTCTCTCTCTCTCTCTCTCTCTCTCCTCTCTCTCTCTCCTCTCTCTCTCTCTCTCTCTCTCTCTCTCTCTCTCTCTCTCTCTCTCTCTCTCTCTCTCGCTTTGTACGAGCAGCAACACTTCTCCCGAGTATGAAGAGGAGGTGCCAGCTCCTCTTGCCACACCAGCCCCATGGGAGCCAAATTCCAAGTGGAAGGAAGGATTTAGAAGTTGACCACGAAGATAGAGCTTTTAAGGCCTTTGCTACTCACCTTGGAGTTTCATCCCCTGCCTCTGTCTGCTCTGCCTTGTCCTTGGTTAACCTTGACCTCTCTAGAGCGTTACTACCTAAAGCTTGTTTTGGGCTACCTAACCTAAGGTTTGCCAGATTGGAGTCCCAGGGGGCTCTTTTGTGGATTAGATAAGAATGAATTTAATCATCAATTGTAGATGTTCAGTTGGAGGTTGCTAAAGCTCTAGAAAATAATTTGTTCTCCTATGTATTACCTCTGGGATCTTCTTATGCTATTAATTTGCTTTGAAGACCCGTTTCTCCAATAATACAAAGGTGTCTGCAGCCCACCCCCTGCTTGAATTATCCTAAATCCCAAACTAATTGGTTCTTCTTTAGTCTTTTCACGCACTTCAAGATAATGAAATCGCTTGGTTAGACTTAGGAAGGCAAAGAAAGAGAGACGCAAACGGGCAGAGGAAGAGAATGAAAAATGAAAATTTACTTTTGTCGCTTTATTCTCGCCCCAGAAGGAATGATTATCTCATTAAGCCTAGTGATCTTAAGTAACCTAGGCGTTCGCTCTGGTTGCCAGCAGTGGCTTTGTCATAGCCTGTTAAGGACGCCACCGTAATAGAGCCCACCGTCATGAGAAAGATGGCCCAGCCAAACTCTCCTCAAACCCGCCCATTCTATCCCCAAAATACTCTGGGCTTTCCCACCGCAGCCAGCCAGCGAGTCCTCCCTTCTGGAGGCCTGGAGCCCTCATTCCTCCGGGGCCCTTACCAGAACCCTCTGCCCACATTAGATTGCTCAAGACACACTCTGCCTTCCCGGAGGCACAAATCCTTTCAGCACCATTCACTGACTACTACTGTATTTTGCATATGAAGTAACTTTTAAAAAATCCAACCGAAAGGGAAAACGAGGGGGGGAAAAAAGCCATTCGCACTAAATAAGGAAAAGTCTTAGCAGAATACTGAATCATCTACCAGGTGGCCAAAATTCTGACTCCAAAAACCAAAGGCCTAGTTTTCATAGTTAAAACACACACACACACACACACACACACACACACACAACCACCGCTCGCTTCCCCACCCGTCAGTCGCTCAGATGGTCCTTCCTCCAAAGGAGGTCTCTGCCATCCCATGAAAGACTCCTACCCACCCTGGCTTGAGTTTCCTCTTCCAAACCACACGTCATAAACCTTAGTAGCAGAAGAAAGAGGGGAAGAAGAGGGAGGAAGGACGGGATCCACAGAGAGACCTAGAATCAGGAGTGCCCCTTCTGACCACACGCAGAGGAGCCACAAACGCCTGGGAGCGGAAAGACAGAGAGCCCAGAAATCAGTTCGGCCAGCTCACCGTGGAATTCTCCTCCCCGCCCTCCCTCTCTCCCTGGGAAAACAGGAATGCTGGGGAAAGAGAAACATTTTCTGAGATCGGCCGGCCGTGCTGATGGCTGAGAGGCCCCTCCCCCTAGGCACACACAACTCTCTCTCAAAGGAAATGACTGTTCTGCAGGGCCCCCCACCCCCACCTCAGCATCCTCAACTGGTTACATACGTCAGCCCTGTCTCCGGGAGTCTCCTCACAGGCCTGGCACAAACCCCCCCCCTGCTCTGCTCGGTGGGGAAGGCGAGTCTGTTCCATCTTGTGGCCATTGGAGGTAAAGCATTTCGACCTAAACATCAGGGAATGACTAAAGCTGACTCTTCTTGGAAAGAATGTGCTGGTTCCTGAAACCCCGCTGGCGGCCGCATGCCCTCCCAGAACCTGAGGCGGGTTGGAGAGAGAGAGGACAAGTGCTTTGGAGATGAGGTCACAGCGGTGCAGGGAGCCCAGCCTCCGAGGGCGCCGCCTGCCTGTGTCTCCGGCGGCCTTCCTGGTGGGCCTGGGGGAGACCCGCGGCCTCCGGTCTTTGCGCAGGGAGGGCCCGTGCCGTGGGCAGCAGTGGGTGTGCTGGGGCCAAACATCGCCGTCTGCGTTCCCAGATCCCTCCTCCATACCCTCCTCCGCACCCTGGAGTCAGCGCCCCCCGCCGTGGGTCAGTCCTGCCCTTTGGAGAGGCGTCCGGCTGGCAGAAGCTTGTCCCTCCTTGCATTCATTCAACATGCCTTTACTGTGTCAGGAGCGGATCCGGGCACGGAGCACATAGGCTTGACGAGGACAGACTTCGACCTTTTTTTCAGGGAGCTGACGTCCTATGGGGCTCTCGGGCCACTGTCCCCGAGCCTTCCACAGAGCCAGACAGACACCAGGGAAGACTGTGGTTTGATGGAAGGAACACCAAGCCTGGCTGTGCAGCCTTCTTGCTGTGTGGTCTCTCATATATTTTATTGATTTTTTTACAGAGAGGAAGGGAGAGAGATAGAGAGTTAGACCCATTGATCAGCTGCCTTCTGCACACCCCCATCTGGGGATGTGCCCGCAATCAAGGTACAGGCCCTTGACTGGAATCGAACCTGGGACTCCTGAGTCCGCAGGCTGATGCTCTATTCACTGAGCCAAACCAGTCAGGGCGCTGTGTGGCCTCTTGACAGGCTGGTGAGTGCTCCGGGCCCTGTGGCCAGCTTGGAAGAGGGCCCAGGAGCGCCCTGGTTAAACCTCTGGGCTGCCAGCACTGCCCCCTGCTGGCTGAGTGACCTTTGAGAAACTACGAAGCTCTGTTGCTTCTCCAGCTGTGAATAAAAGCGGGTAGAGCGCCCACTTCATCGGGTTGTCATGAGGATGGAAGAATCGCTGTAATCGCGCCCTGACGGTGCCTGGCATCTTTGCTCCCAGCTGCCAGCTGTCCTTTCCATCAGCCCCTTCCTGGTTCAGTCCCCCAGGGACCCCATAGCCTTATGACTGTCAACACGTGAGCAGACCCCGTCTCCCAGGAGGCATCCCACAGGCAGCCTGGGGGTGAGATGGCTGAAGGGGACTCACACCCCCTGGTTCTTCTCTGTTCGCTCCCACAGTCGCGGCTTTGGGCAGTCCAACTCCCTCCCGACGGCCGGCTCTGTGGGCGGCATGGGCCGGCGGAACCCGCGCCAGTACCAGATCCCTTCTTGGAACGTCCCTTCCGCCCGCCTGGGCCTCTTGGGCACCAGTGGGTTCGTCAGCTCCACCCAGCGCAACACCACCGCCAACCCCACCATCATGAAACAAGGAAGACAGGTTTGTTCTGCACCAGAGGGGGGGGGGGGGCAGGCTCAGCGCCGGAGGCTTCGGGATGTTTCCCCAGATGACTCCGAGGTGAGGGGAGAGATAGGGGCCCTGTCCTCTACATTTGCGCTGTTCCTCCGGGAGACAGACCAGGGCCAAGGCTGCGCCTGGCCTCATTGCAGGGGGTGGGGGTGGGGGGGTGAGGGGGGTTGATAAGGGGGCTTAGGAGGCCCCTGGGACCACTTCAACCTTGGGGCCCTAGCAAGGGTGCCTTTAGGAAGAAATGTAACACCTGTTTATTGTTCGCCCAGACCCTTGACTTGCCCCAGCAGACCTCACCACTCCCCAAACTGGGTTCCAGAGAAACCTCAGCCTCTAAGGACCTTGCTCAGCCTTTTTGTTCATGGCAAATAGCTCCTTCGTCGTGGTCCAACTGTGGGGAGAATCCACAGTCAGAGGAAGGGTTAAAACTCCCTCAGCCAGACAGAGCTGGCTGCCCGGTGATCCTCGGTGTGTGGCCTAGAGCTGACCCCTGTCCTGAGGCCCCACGCCTCTCTGCCCCTCGCCCCACACCCTGCCCAGGGCTGGTCAGTTCAAGAGGAAGTTGCCACCCAGTAACAAACACACGCCCCATGGTGCCAGCTCATTGCCCACCAGGGCTTTTCCTTCCCCACCCCCCCACTCTGTAGTAACTTGTAAGAATCTCAAAAAAATCAAATAGATGAGTTAGCACCTGAAATGGTGCTCTTCATTGCAAATATATATATATAAGCCCCTTCCCCTCCCCCCCATTTCCAAGAAAAATGACAAGAAAGCAAAAGCAACAAAATGGATAATAGGGAGAGGGGAGAGGGAGAGAGGTGTCCAGATTGAACTGTCGTTTAGAGCGGGACCTGGGGCTCAGGAGGGGGGCAGGTCGCTAAAAGGAACGGAAGCTGAAACCCCTCACTGTATAGAAGCAGATGGGCACGCTGGCCTGCATACCTCTTGCCAGAAGTCAGCAGAGGATTCGTCTCCTGAGCTCTGCAGGGCAGGGGGGGGAGGGGGGAGGGAGAACCCTGCTCCCCAGACCGCCAGCCCCCCACCCTAGGGTGCCCGGACTCACCCTTTTGTGTTTCTCCCTAGAACCTCTGGTTTGCCAACCCCGGAGGCAGCAACAGCATGCCCAGCCGCACCCACAGCTCCGTGCAGAGGACCCGCTCGCTGCCCGTGCACACCTCTCCCCAGAACATGCTCATGTTCCAGCAGCCAGGTAGGGCCTGGCGCCTGCTCGCCCGCTCCGCCCTCCCCTGACACACCGGCCGGCGAGGCCAGGACGCCAGAATAGACCCCTGGTGAACCCAGCTGCAAAGTGCTTAGCCTCGACTGTCACCACGCATTCTTGTGAGCTTGTAGAAGCCTTTCCTTTTTTAAACTGTGCCTTGCCGGCATGAATGGCGGCGGGTTGGCCGGAAGCCAGCGCGAGGAGCCCCGCAGTCATTGCAATCTGACGGGGATATTTTTGATACTAGTCATATTTCTAGGTTGATTAAGGCAGAGATACCACTGGAGGGCTTGGAGGGGGGTGGGAAGGGTTCCCTGTGTCATGGGGGCAGGCGGTGGAGAGAGTAAGACGGATAAATAGAAGGCTTGGCAGCGCTGATGCTAAGGGGACCCCCCACCTCAGACCCCTCGGTTTGGGAGTGCCTTGCAAACATGACCGCTAGGACCGGCCATCTTTCCTGCACTTGATCAAAGAGCATCTTAGGGCAACTCAACTTCCATTTCACCGTTCACCTTACCTCCGAAACAAGCAGCCAGCCCTATGTACAACCAGCAAATACTTGCACCCTTTCTCCATGCAGACAGGGGCCTTAGACTCCACAGAGAATGCAAAGCCACACAAGCAGACGCTGCACCTGCCTAGATGCTCCCCAGGCTGGCGCACCAAACGTGCACCTGCAGGAGACGCCCAGCCTGGGCGGTAGATGCGCTTGCTCTGGTCCTACAGGAGGTTAGAAGGGGAAAGGTCGCTGTGGCCTTGGGTGGACAAGAAAGCCTCTTGGAACTGGGGCTGAGCTTCAGGGCACAGAGGAGGAGGAGGGGGAGGAGGAGGCGGCATCGCAGGCAGAAGGGGAGCAAACTTCAGTGGTACTGAGGGCCATGGTGCGTCCCAGAAGCCATTGCTGGGCTGATGTAGTGGAGGGTTGACCAAGGGGACTGGAAAGATGGTGCTGGTGGTGGGGATTCCAAATCCAAGGCCTAGGAGTTCGGAGCTCAGCCAATCTCAGTGGGGAATCTATGGGAGGTTGTGAGCAGGGAGTCAGGCAAGAGTGTGCTGGGGTGTGAAGGGGAGGCAGGCTGTGGAGGGCAGGGAAGGAGGAGGAGAATGAAGAGGAGAGGAGGGGAGGAGGAAGAGGAGGGGAGGAGGGGGAGGAGGAGGAGAATGAAGAGGAGGGGAGGAGGGGGAGGAGGAGGAGAATGAAGAGGAGAGGAGAGGAGGAGGAAGAAGAGGATGAAGAGGAGGGGGAGGAGGGGGAAGAAGAAGAGGGGAAGGAGGAGAAGGGGTAAGAAAAAAGGGGAAGGGGAGGAGAAAGAGTAAGGGGAGGAAGAAGAGGAGGAGAAAGAGGTGTAGGAGGGGAAGGGGGAGGAGAGTAAGGGAGGGGGAGGGGGGTGTTGAGCTGCCATGGGGTGAGGTGTGCCAGGAAAGGAAGGGGCATCCACAAGGTCCAGATGCCTGTTTACAGTTGCTTCTTAGCCTCTAGAATGCTCCGTACCTATGCACTTTCGTTTTAAAGCTCCTTTCCTCCGTGTTGATACTTGTAGCTATGTTTCTTCCCAGGCAGAAATACTGGGTGAAGTTCAGGGGTTGTGAACGTTATCCCTGGGTCGTTCAGCCCCAGCCTCTGCTGCCCTGCAGCATTGTGTATAACCCGCTCCCAGCAACAGAGAATCGGGACGGGATGTGTAGGCATCCTGGGCACCAGGAGGTCTGTGACCTTAAACACCCACTGCCAGGCCCAGACGAGGCCTCGCCCTCCAGAGACAGGGCCTCAGAGGGGGGCCAGGCGCTGGGTCTCCTGTTCACTAGGCAGGCGTCTCGGGTGGTGGTGGGGCAGGGTGGACTAGAATCAGGATTCTCTCGGGGCGGCAGGAGTCAGGGAGGCAGAAAGCGGCCTTCGTGTTTGCAGGGCAGCTGTAATGGTGAACCGAAAGGGAACAGAGACATGTGACCAACCCACATTGAATACTCAGCCGCCTCCCAGGGCAGCACAGCAGTTTCTTTCCGGCGGCCAAGGCTTCAAAGCATCCGTCTCAAACCCTCAGGGTGAATCCCGAAGACCCCAATGCATTCTAAAGGGGCTCTTATTTATTCTGTTAACTTAAAATGGTTCACCAGAATCATGGAAGACTAAACATCTCCCGAGGATCTAGTAAAGGCTGCGGGCTGGAACCAGCACCAGGCTGAGCATCCGCCAACCAGTTGCCTCGCTCAGATTTGCAAGAAGGCTCCCCGTGGCAGCCCAGGCGGGGTGGTGGTCACCTCGCTCCCACACATGTGCGCAGCTTCTGGACGCTGCCTGGGACAAGCCAGGAGAGCATTGGGTCATGGCTGCCTCTCGCTGGCCTCGGGATGAGTAGGAAACACGAAGCGAGGGGACAAGGTCTCCTGGACTCACCCGGAGGGACTTGAGCTCAGAACAAGCCTGGCGCCCGGTGAGAGCGCTCAGGATCCTCCCAGAGGCCGGGCGTCTGCCCACCTGCAAGACTGGAAGCAGCCTGATTCCTGTTGACCGGGCTCAGCCACCCTTGGGATCCAGCCCTAGAGCGACGCTGGGAAGCCGAGGCTCCTGACACCGGTGGGCCTGAGAGAGAAAGGGCAGAGGGCGGCGGCAGCGGGCCTCAAAGGACAGGCCTCAAAGGGGTCGGTGGGCAGCCGCCCCGGGGATCCTGTTCCTCCCTTGCACAGAGCCATGTGCCAACGACCCCTGGAGCTGGCCCGCCAACTGTGCGATGGATGAGGCGTGCCTCCCGTGGCAGCATGTCCTGGGGACAGGCCTGTTCACAGCAGCCGCCCCTCTGCACCAGCTCACGCTTGCACGTCTCCCACCATCAGACTCCGCACGCCTCGAGCCCTCACCATTTCTGTCCCGCTTCGTGCGTGTGAGCTTCCCAGCTCCTTTCGGAGAGCTGCCTTCGAGAGAGTGCGGGAAGGGAGAGGGCATCAGAGCACGGAGTCCATGGCGGGGAGGCAGGGGCGGCCAGGCAGAGGCCGAGGCCAGAACAGGGACCCCCTCACATAATACACATCGGCCCTCTGCCCTCTAGTAAGCAGGCAGACAGCCCTGCTCGGGGAGGTTGGTGAGTGAGTGAGTCCTATCACAGCCGAGATCCCAGCAGGGCCCGCGCCCCCTGCGTTTTAAGAGTCACATTGGAAGAGACCAGCTGACGGCAAGATGGCACCATGTTACTGTCGTGCACCGTATCCTGCTCACCCATGTTTGGTGGAACTGTGGGCACCAGAGGGTTCCCACTGCACTCCCTCTGCAGGCTCAGGGCTGAAGCCACCAGAGAAAAGCCTCCGCCTCCGTCACTGACTCAGGGGGGCGACTCCTGCATTACTCACGTCCCCCCCTCGCCCACCAAGACCGCTCAGTGATACGCCAGCTGCCTGCCTCGCCGACTCCGCCTCCTGCCCACACTGGCCTCTGTGCCTCCTTACCATCCTCCCCTTTTCCTTCTGGGCTCCGGCTTTGGCTCCCTTTCTTCCTTACCTGCCCTGCCCCACCCCATCACAGCGACCCAGGTCCCAGGTCCCAGCCTCTGTCCCTCACCAGCCTGCCTCTCCTGAGTTCTCTCCAGCCGTGGGCCCTGCTTCTCACTTCACCCGACTTCCAAAGCCTCTCGGCGGAGGAGCCCCCGATGCCATCGGCAAAGTGGGATCCTGAAGCTTTCCGTTCTAACATGCCTCTTCCTATCAAGCCCGGGAGCACCGGGCCTCAGCGGGACTGCCCTGCTGCTGCCCCGGAAAAGCCACCTGGGCCACCCCGGGCGTGAAGGATGAGCAGCCCCACTGCCTTCTAGAATCTTCTTGACCCTGGGGCCTGCACCTGAGGTCCTGTACTTGTGGCATTTCTGAACAACACAAGTAAAAAGTCCTGAGTCAGCTGGACCCCGGGCGTCGGAGCTGGGAGCCTCGCTGAATCCTGGAACAATCCACCCGAGGGCGAGGGAAGAATTTCTGGTGCACAGAGGGGGCATCTGAGCTGGAGAGACAGCAGGGGACTCCGGCACAGAGTCCTTCCTTGTCGCCTCCTGGAGGACTAGAAACCGCCTGGGCCCGGGCCATTACAGCAGGGGCCCAGGATAACTGCGGTGAGTCCGTAGGGACAGCAGGAGCCGTGGCAAGAGGCGGCCGGTGGCCACTGTGGAGCAGGAGCTGCCGAGTGCGCCTCCACGGCTCTGAGAGAGCTCCACCCACCCACCCACACGTGGCTGAGGGCTCCCCGCCCGAGCCCGAGGCTGGTGCCCAGCCCTCGTGTACGTACAGAGAGATGCCACGGATCTGTGTTTGTCACATACCCAATTAAGAAGTCACACTATTGGGAAACTCAGGAATCTGAGCATATGTGTCTCTCCCGGGACTTGGGATTTTTCAGAGCCTTTCTGAAAACGGAGGGGGCCGGAGGGAGGAGCTGGGGGAGGAAGAGCGAGCACGCCCCCTCTCCGCCTAAAAGAGCAGCGCGAAGGTTCGGAGACTCTGGAGCGTGGAGCCCGGCGCTTCTCAGCCCCCTCTTTGGAACACGCAATCCCGGGCTTGGAAAATGTCACTTTGCTGCGTGTTGGCAAGAAATCCTGCAGCTGAGACACTTCTCTCCAAATGTCGAGCATCTTTATTTATCCAAATCTCTCCACAGTGTTTGTTGAAAGGGAAGTGCTAGAGAGTAAACTAAATTTTACAATGAGCATATGGATGGCTAGAATTGCTGAGGGTTTTTTTTTCCATATTTGCTAACTGGCTATATATAAAATGGTGATTCTCTTTTATAAATTTCACACCACCCTGAAGGCTGCTAATTTTTGCATGCATATGATTTTCACATGAATGGATGAAAATACTAACATACTCTCCCCCCTGGATTGTCTAATTGCCCTGGCCCCACTTTGAGAGCAGCCAGCGAAGGGGGATGGGGGGGGGGGAGACCCTTGCATCCTCCCTTTCAGTGGCCCTGGAAGCCCCATTGGCCTCACGATCTGACACAGAAGTCCCACTGGTGCTGGGACCTGTGTCAGGAAGAACCCTCTCTGCTCCCCAGTGCTCTCCGCATTGGCCCGCTCTGTCAGGTTTCTCTCTGCGAAGTTTAAGTATCGGAAACAGCATCTGCCTCTGAGCGAGCTGGTCATGGGGAACCCAGACTGCAAAGGATACGTAAATGTACAGCCAACCAAGGAAAACAAATACTTTGGGTTAGCCCTTGGTTTCAACTTCCTATCCCACCAAACCACCAACGCATTTGTAATCCCCGGCCCAGCCCCTGAGCGCCCCCTGGTGGAGATGTGGAGGAGCAAGGACATGGCCTTACGTTTGGGACACCGGCAAGGATCCTTGACAGGGAGAAGAGCAAAGGCCCCAAGAAGAGAACAGCTTCCCAGGGTCACGTGGAGGCAGAGCAGAGACTTCCCAGGCACAGAACACACACACACACACACACACACACACACACACACACACACTGGCTGATTTTTTTCCTGCTTCCCTGCTCTAGGACTTCAGGTCTTAGCTGTCAGAGTTGCTGTGTCTTGCCCCGTTTCTGATCCCTCCACAGTAGGCATGTCCAAGGTGTGCAGGAAGTCATTCCGGGAGATTCAAAGAACTATGAATGCACCATCGCAGTCTGCAAGGCACTTCCAAGCTGGTCAAGGACATTCAGGAGCTCCGCAGGATAAGGGCCAGGGAGAGGCTGGCCACGGGGGCCCCAGGAGGAGAGAGGAGGAAGGCCCCATGGTCTGGAGCCTGGGAAGACAGGGAGGGTCCGCAGAGCAGACAGCTCAGCCCAAGGCTGTGTTGGCAGGGAGAGCTGGGCTCTGGGACCAGATCCATGTGGGTTCCTGGCCCAGCTCCGTGTCAGCAGCTAACCGTGACGGGTCACTCAGCCTCGCTGAGGCCCACCTGGGAACCTGGTGCCCGGCGTGGGCTCAGGTGCAGAAGAGGTGCTTTCCATGCGGTGGTTCCCATCCCTGCTGCTCAGGAGGAAGCAGACATGCGCCGGGCCTGGTGTAGGCACGGGGAGCAGAGCCACGTCTTGTTCCAATGACTCGAACTTTCAACTGGGGGAAGCAGCAGTTACATGCGTGGGTCAGGTGCTGTGACATCTGTGCAGTGAAGGAAAGCTGAAGATAGGGATGGGGCCGGAAGTCCTGTTCACACACAGTGAACAGAAGGTCCTTTCTGAGGCGACAGTAGAGCAGGAGACCACAGGGCGGGGAGAGGGAGAGCCGTGGAGACATCCAGGCCCAACAATCTGGGCAGAGGGGACGGCAGTGCAATGGCCCTGGGGCAGAGGAGGGCCTGGGGGGAGACTGGAGGAGGGGAGTGTGGACCAGGGCAGGAGCTAACAAGGAGCCAGACAGTGTGGGGCCTGCCGGGCACAGCAGGGGTTGGGTTGCCTTTGACGGGAAGGCGCTAGCTGGTTCTGAGCAGAGGACTGACAGACTGTGACTCGGAGCGGCTATTCTTAGTCACCGGTTTGCTTGCAGCCGCCCACATTCACAGTGGACTCTGTGGGTGTGACGTGCCCTCCGTGCTGGCCCTGACAGTGCCCCCAGGCCCTCCCAGGGAGGCCCCGCAGACCCTCCCCCTGGCAGGTGGAGCCAGGGCCGCTGTGCATGCCTTCTCCTTGCTCTTAGAACCCCCGTCACCCACATAACCCTCTGCCCCCTGCAGAATTCCAGCTTCCCGTGACTGAACCTGACATCAACAACAGGCTGGAGTCCTTGTGCCTCAGTATGACCGAGCACGCCCTGGGAGGTGAGTGTCCCCCTGGTGTTTCTCATGCTCCGGGGAGCCTCTGCCCATGTGCTGTCTGCCCTTTGGGGGGATGGGAAGAGCACAAGAAGAGGGAGGCAGGGGACCGGAGAGAGGGGCCTCAGGGGCTACTGGACTGTCAGCAAGCCACCCCACACCCAGTGCCCACGTGCCCGCTCGACCTCGTTTCTGGGGAAGGGAGTCAGGAGGACCTGGAGCTGAGCCCGGCTCCCTTCCCCGGAGGCTCACCCCCCGAGTGCGCACGGGAGTCCCACCACAGGTGTCAGCCCAGCCCGACGCCGGGAGCACGTGGCCTCAAGTGGGAAGATGCCCACAACACGGCCTTCTTTCCTGCTCCAGCCTGGTCCAAGCACATCCCAACTTGCTCTAAAACAGGACTTCTGAGACAGAAATCCCTGCTTGTTTTCATATCCAAATGGCTTCCACAGTGCCTGGCGCCCCAGCAGGCCGAGGGGTCCTTGGCAGGGTGATGGGGCCCGTCTTGTTGGATGTGCCCGTGGGGTGCAGGGGGGTGGCTGCGAAGAGGTCCCAGAAGCAGCAGGTCCTCCCATGGTGTGTTTGAAACCCTGCGTTGTCACAGCAGCCCGGGAGGACTCCGTGCCCTCCTGGTACTAACCGGTGCCTGTGTCCGGCTGGGACGCGCCGCCAGCCCTGGGACGTTTGGCAGGAGGAGGAGAGCCGTCCGCTCCTCCCTGCCAGCGTCCGGGACGGGTGGCTCTGAGTCACGGAGACCCGGGGAGGCCTCCTGTGACCCTTCCCGATGGCCTCAGTCTGGACGCACTCACCCACCCCAGAGACGGGCCAGTGGCACACCCAGGGCCCAACATGCGTGTGTCTGGCAGTGGAGTCGGGTGGGCGGAATGGGGGAAAGCTCCATCGGCTATTCCAGAGAGCGTTGTCCTTCTGCCCAGGGAGTTTTAAAGTTTAGTCTCCGCACACCCAGCCTTACCCTGAAACCGAATGAGGCAGCTTAGAACGCTCTGCCGGAGCAGCGTGGGAGGGGGTGTGTGAGGCTGTCCACAGCCGGCGACAGTGCCCGCTCTGTGCCAGGGGACCCAGTGCCTGTCAGGGCCCAGCTCCTCCTGCGACCGCCCGGGTGCCGGGAGCTCCGTGTGCACGCACTGCTCTCCCTCGGCCATTCGGATCCTGGAAGCTGCACAGCATCCTCAGTCCATCCTGGTTCCTCCAGGCTGAGGCCCCTCTTCTCCAGCTCGCCGAGGACACGGGGTCGGCCCACACCAGTAGCCTCTGATGAGTAAAGAGAAACAACCCCAAGTTCGATGAACAAAATGTAGTATAACCATACGGTTCGGCCTTAAAGAGAATGAAGTGCTGACACAGGCTGTGACCCGGGGGGAGTGGGAGGGGACAGACGTATGCTAAGTGAAAGGAGCCACACAGAACAGGATTCCCCTTGTGAAGTGATGGCGTGACCAGTGTCCAGAGCAGGCACATGTCTATGGGGACAGGAAGGACAGACTGTGGTGGTCAGGGGCTGCAGAGAGGGGAGTGGGCGCAGAGTTCTTCTTGGGGACGACAAGAAGATGCTGCAGTTAGATGGTGGTGATGTCGCACCGCTTGTGAATATACTAAACACTGCTGAACTGTGCCCTTGAACAGGATGAAATTTGTGGTATGCGAATCCTATCTCCATTTTTCTCAGAAAGGGAACCCCCATAGACCTCAACTCATCAGCCCACCCTCCGCCCACTGCGCGGCCCCAGAAACCCTCCCCTACCTGCCAGTGGCTGGGATGGTGGGAGAGAGGAGCTCTCCCTGTCTCTGAGTCAGCAAGGAGACTGGCCTTTCCCCCAGGGCTGGATAGTTCTCGATAATTGGCGAATTGGAAGCTCTTTCCAAACTGGTAGGGACCAACACCATCATCATTAGTAACCAGAATGCCAAATGCTCTTTCTTAAAGGGAGGCTTTTATTCAGAAGGCTTCGTTTTTCAGCCCTTTCTTCTGTGGGTTTTTTACAGAAAACCTCTCTGAACGGATGTGTGTTTGCTAATGTTGTCACCTGATCACTCTCCTAAGGTTTTTCGTTGCTGTGTTCTCCTCTGCAGTCCCCTGGCGGGAGGCCTCATACGCGATTCCTCTAACCCCCCTCCCCCAAGCAGAGAGTGCAGATTAGTTCCAGGGGCCCCGCTGGGCACAGTGGCCGCACGCCCTCTTGCTAAGGCCCTGCCCGCTCTGCCGGCCCAGCCCTTCCAGGTGCCAGGGAAGGGGGCCTTGCTGGGGACAGAACGGCGATGAATTCAGTCCTTTTACAGGAAGACAAACAACAACCAGGGAGAGGAAAGCAGACCAGGAGCTTCCTCTGCTCGCGCCTCGGGAGAGGCGAGGTGCTCAGGTTGCTGGGGCACCGTGTCCCAGGACGGCCATTCTGTGCACTGGTCCAGAGTCCGGGCCTTGGGAGCCCATCCTTCTGTGCTGGTTATCTTTCTGACTGTGGAGGGGTTCTGTGGGCAACCGATACAAAATTGAGGTTTTTCCCAGCTGAATGGAGGCTGCAGGGACGTGTACCGTAGAGAGGAATGCGCAGTTCCCTTCGATGTGCCGGGGTTCGCGCATCCCACGACCCCTGCCCCTCCTCTTACCGTTTCTCCTTGCTCCGTCCTGAGTCTCACAGCCCCACAACCAGCTGGCAGGGAGATGTGCATAAGCTAGGAAATGGCTCCACTTTCTCAACTGTCCTGTCCTGTCTCTTATTCGAAATATTCGGTCCTTAACTATAAACGCTGTGATGGTTGCATGTCACTAGCACCCCCTGGCGTTGTGCGAGGCACAGTGCGCACAGCGGTAGACGGTGAGTCTGGACTTGTCTGTGGGTCCTTCCCCTGCAGATGGAAAGCGTCTCCTTTGGGTAGATGAGGTCTATGGTTGTGATTCCTGAAAATGTGACTGGGGGTGGGGAGAGTGGGGAGGGGAGGGTAAGTTGGAATTTCCAGTTTCCAGCTCCCTATTCCCACAGCCTTGAAGGGTGGGCAAAAATGAGGGGGCCAGGGGGCCCTGGCAAGGGGGTGCCCTGTGGATGAGGGAGTGACCTCTGCACTCCCACCCCACGCACACACCCATGTGCTCACACGCCCCTCCCATTCTCCCATCATCAGTTCCCACTGCAGAGCCACCAAGGGAGGTGCGAGTAGATACCCACGGCGGGGAGAGGGTATGGGGGTAAGTGCACATCCGAGGGCCTCTGGGATTGGTGATTTGATGCCACAGAGGACCGTAGGGGGCATCTGCTTCCCTCGTTTAAAAACACTCCACATTTTGTATAGAACTTTACACACACACACACACACACACACACACACGTCCAAGTAAAAGAGGAAATCTGCATAAGATGGGTAAATTGTGTCAATCTCTTGGTGGTGATTATATACTAAAGCTTTGCAAAATAATATCATTGGGGAAACCTGGTACTTTTCTTACAACTGTATGTGAACGGACAGTGATCACAATCAAAATCTCAATTAAGAAATCTTTCTCCTCCACGTCCCTGCTGGTGAGACGCCACGTAGGTCCTCCAACCATCCCTGAGTCCTGCCCAGGGAATCTAGGTGCTCCCTCTGGGAGGCCAGGTTCAGGATATCTAGGCTGAGACTGGGACAAGTCTGCTGCCGTTTGGATATGAGCAAAGCCAGCCAGGCTCCCTGCACCCTCCCCCCCCACCCCCGTGGCCTTCAGGTCGTGGTTGCTGAGCACAGCCATTGCCACCCCTATGATGGCTGGCCCTTGCCCCTTTCTCTGCTCGCTGATAAGCCCTTGGGACTTTAGGTCTCGGCTGCCCACTCAGTATGGTTACAGGCAAAATAGCTACTGGCTCAGTGGTAGAGCGTCAGTCTGCAGACTGAAGGGTCCAAGGTTCGATTCCAGTCAAGGGCATGTACATTGATTGCACGCACATCACCCGTAGGGGGTGTGCAAGAGGCAGCTGGTCAATGTTTTCTCTCTCATCGATGTTTCTAGCTTTCTATCCCTCTCCCTTCCTCTCTGTAAAAAATCAATAAAATATATATATATTTTTTTAAATAGCTACTTCCCGAATGGCGGGTGGGTGGATGTGGAATGACTGAGTGACCGAATGAATGAATGAATGCAGCCCTTCCCTGTCCTCAGAGACTGGGAGGCCCGGCCTGCATGGCGTGGGAGCAGGGGGCTGATGGGAACTGCCCCGCTCACGGTGCCCGCTGTGTGCTCTCTCTCCAGACGGGGTGGACCGGACCTCCACAATCTAAAGCTGAAGATGAGGGAGACCGCGCTGGCCGTGAAATCGACTGCTGCGGGTCCAGTGTCAGCCATCGTCGGGCTGCACGGAATCCTCCAGGATGCTTTGCAGCCTTACCCTGGTCCCTCTCCCACTTTGATTTTGTGAGAGCGTAGGTCATCCTTGTAAACATATCAGTAGACCTGGGATTGGTTATTGTCATTTGTTTGTGTCCTGGGGTGGCTTGGTGGGGGGGAGGGGAGGGGGGTGAATCTAGGGAAACATGGGACTGGGGGGTGGGGGGAGGTGGAGGGAATGCAAGTGGCTTCCTGGATGCAAAGGGAGGGGGGAGAGAGAACAGAATGGCCTTGAAAGAGAGAAGAGAGACCCAGGAGGGCGGCTGGAGCCCAGCCCTGAGAGCCGCCCTGGGGGCTCTGGGAGGAAGTCACAGCTGCGTGTGAACAAAGCAAGATGGGACTGGCTCTCCTGCCCGCCCCCCTATTGGACTTTCCTGAAGCCCCTGCTTGGGATCGAGCCCCCAGAGAGGGCCACATGGCAACGGGGGCAAGAAGGGGGAGATTCCCTCCAGCAGAATTTCAGAGAAACTTTGATTTGTGTATTGTTTACATAACAGTTCTAAAGGGTACACGGCGTGGAAGGCGCTTGGGCGGGCTTCTCTTCATACTATGGTTTCTGTAAAGGATCTGCTCTATGGATTCATTTCCCCTCTATTTTTATACTATCAGCAGGGCGGTCTTTTCCGATGGCTGGCGGGCTCTGCTCGGTGGGTGGGGGAGCGTGCAGGTGGGGTTGGAGGATGAGATGTGCTGACAGGGCCCAGCACCTGCTGGGGCGTGAGAAGGCTCAGGGAGGAGGCATTTGCTGGCTGCCCAGGGGTTCCGAAAGGTCCCAGCGGCCCTTTCTCTGCTGGACTTGCTCCTCACCCGAGACCTCTCCCCTCCCGACGGGCTCTCGCCCCATTCCTGGCTGCACACACAGGTGGGACGAGTGCCCGTGGGGAGAAAAGGCAAGGATGGACATTGGTTTCCTTGAAAGAGGCCTTACTACCCAGACAATGAGCTCAAAACGCTGCCTGCGGTGGGTCCTCCCAGGACCCTGTACCTGGGGCTGCACCCTCAGTGGGTTCTCTGCTGAGAGGGAGGAGGAGGCACGGCCAGCAACCGCGTAGAAATGGTAGAAATGGTGGGTCGGCAAGTAGCAGAGGGCTAGGAGGCAGGTGTATGGCGCAGCCGCCCCACCGTCCTGGTGAGCAGTGGGGGGCGTGGGAAAGGGAACTGCATGATGGAGCCGGCGCTTCCGTCCGCAGGTGGTTCATGAGGGATTAGCTGTGTTGGGGGCTGATTTCCCCTCCAACCTGACGTGGGGGAGAAAGCCACTCTACCTGGTGAGGAGTGATGAGAGATGAACAAACCACGCTGCCACGGAGTAATTACTCCACGTCTTAGGGGCAAGGAAGACTCCGTTTCGGAGTCCGATGCAGGGAGGGTGTGAGAGGGGATGGACTAGGACTGTGCTGGGCCCTGGGACGCTGGGCCGTGGGAGTGATGGGGCGAACGCTCAGCCGGAGGCGAGACCGGGGAGAGGGCATGAGGTCGGTTTAGTCAGTGGGTGAATCTGGTGCCTTTCTTTCTTTTTTTTTTTAAGTGAAGTTGGTCAGAATTGAAAAGATGAGACCATGAAGAAAATTGCTACACTTGCTCATGGTTATTGAAAAGAGTTAATGAAATACATACCGATTTAAAAGGCCTTAATGAAATCCAAACAACTTTCTTTCACCCTCAAGATTAAAAAATGTGAACCCCACTCGGCCTTGAGTGGCCTTGGAGGTTGGGATAAGGTTTTTCAAGTCCCTTTTAGGTCTAAAAGGGTGAGGGTATGTTAACTGTAGAGAGCCTTTAGCAAGCCAGCGAAAGCTTGAACCTATGAAATCATGCAGAGAGAGAGAGAGAGAGAGAGAGAGAGAGCGAGAGCGCACGCGAGCGAGCACACTGTCCTTGGATGGCACACTCTAAAGACAAAAATCCATGTGCAGAAAGAGGTGGCATTTTTTAGTTGATTTTTTTTTTGAACCAAGTGCCATTAACATTCATCCTCCACATCCCTTTTCTAAATAAGCCTAGTGTTACTTGAGGAATGTGTTGGGATGGACGATCACAGGGAAGGCAGGAAAAATAGGCTAAACAAGTCGAAGGCCAAAGGTAGGACGAGAGGGTTTGCGGAAGTGGTGTTCGGATGCTAAGAACATTCGAGAGGAGGAAAGCGGTGAGACCGCACATCTCGTGGAGAAATCAGAAAGCACCCGAGTCTGTGCAAAACACATCCGTAGAGACAGCGGTGGTTCAGAAACCAGATTGTGAATACAATCACATTAGCATGACTCCTTTAAAAGGAAGACCTTAAGAGTATTTGCAAATCTGAATTTCTATTTATTCCTTCACTGAATATAGAAACAGTGGTTATCTGATTATTAGAGATATTATTTTGGATATGTTACTTATTAACTTGCTATGGCTGGTAACCATGATAAAGTCTGTTATTAATAACAACATATTCTTTTTTTTTTTTAAAGAAAAAAGAAAAAGAAAAGCTTATTTTTATTGACTGTGTGTATAGATTTACCTACTTAGTTGTGTTTTGCTCCTGGTGGTTTCATTTTTTTTTTTTTTAAGTTGAGTGTTCTGATCAGTTTTAGCCTTGCCCCACCTCGTTCTGAGTCCTGTGTTGGCTGCAGGTGTACAGCTCAATGTAAAAACCCTAAAGCAAAAGAATTTTATTTATCAAAGAATCAAACAGTTGCATGCGTGAGGCTGGGAAGCCGTATATTTAGTACTAACGCGGCAGTGCCTTTTTTTGTATCTACCCATCGACCCCCAAATGCGACTGTTTTATATTAAAAGGAAACATTAATGATCTCCACGTAAAGTCTCTTTCCCATGTTTCCCCCCAACTTGTTCTGATTTATGCAGTGTGTGTGTGTGTGTGTGTGTGTGTGTGTGTGTGTGTTTGGCATCTCTACCCTGTCCCAGGGACAGTGGCATTCTACAGTGTTGTTCCCCTGTCTGATGTTTTACTGGTGCTTCTCATTCATTAGTGGTTTCTTAACGGAAACAGTAGGAAGACACACATGATACTGTGTACAAGGAACGAAACATTGCTGCTGATAACATTTGTGCTTTTTGAGTTTCACTTGCTTAACCGAGGGCCAGCAAGCCAGACCTGGCTGGGTCTGCCTGGAGGAGACAGCTGCCTGCCCCGCACTCTCGCGCCCTGGGTATCGATGGTCCCTGTGGGGTTCTCGGGATGGGAGTGAGAGCCGGGCCCCTGTCTCCCGTTCCTCTGAACGTCTGAAGAGACACTGAGGGAAACGCTGTTTTCTTTTGAGGTGTCGTTGGTTGCCTTTGACGGGACGGGCGGCTTTTCCGGGTCTTCTGTTCTCCTGCACCTCTTGTTGCTAGTGCCCGGGCGGGGTTTGTAGACGGGCACGCCCGGCTAGCGTGGGGGTCTCATGAGAGCCTGGGGTCTCACGCAGAGCCGGCATGCGGCTGGAAGGGCAGCGAGGGGAGGGAAGCGGCCGGGGCTCGCTGGCCCCCTGTGGAGATGCCCGCGGCAGGCCCTCCGCCCGGGTGCCAAGGAGCAGCTGGCCCAGGCTCGGGTGTGCCCACTACAAGAAGGACCTGCAGAGGGGCATTTGCACATGGGGCTGTGATAACACTAGTGTGGTTTTTTTTTTTTTTTTACACGTCATCTGAGATGTTTGCAAAGTGAGTTTTATTATTTTTGTGGGTTTTTTTGTAATTCCTTTATCTTTACTTAAAGGTGAATGTGTATTCCTCTGGGAGGAATAGGAAGAAAACAGGAATGTTAATAGTGTCCAACAGAAGACTTCCTCCCTTATTAATATATAACCCTCATGTATTTATGCCTATTGTAAGCTGACTTTTCAAAAAGCTTTCTTCTGTTGCATGCCCCATGCAGGCATCTCTGTTGTACATGCATGCCTCTCGTCCTGTTTTCCTGTATAAAGTTAGTGAACAAAGAACTATTTTTGCCTAGTTCATTGTTGCCAAGCAATGCATATTTTTAAAATTTTGTCATATATGGAAATAGCATGTTTGTTACATGTAAAAGCTTTACTGATAACACAGATATACTAATGTTTGGAGATGCTGTTCTTTGCAAGTGTACAGTTTTCAAATGTTGTTACCAGTGAGACACTCTCGTGGTTTAAACTTGCTACAATGTATTTATTACTCATTTCCTCCCATGTAACAGAATCATGGCTATATTTCATATCAATGTTATATTGAAAGTGAAGGGAAATGATTAATACAAGGTTTTGTAACACTGGTGTGTGTGTGTGTCGTTTTTTTGTTTTTGTTTCCTTTCTGTCAATATGATTGATTAGAAAACAAGAAGTGATTTTCTTTTCTTTTTTTTTTAATATATTTTATTGATTTTTTACAGAGAGGAAGGGAGAGAGATAGAGAGCTAGAAATGTCGATGAGAGAGAAACATCGACCAGCTGCCTCTTGCACACCCCCCACGGGGGATGTGTCCGCAACCAGCGTACATGCCCTTGACCGGAATCGAACCTGGGACCTTTCGCTGAGCCAAACCGGTTTCGGCACAAGAAGTGATTTTCTTAGAAATAAGCCAGCAAGGAAGACTGAGCATGACATCCCTGTAAACTGTTCCCACCTGACCATTCTATGCAAACCACGTCTTCATCTGCGAACTGCTCTTTTTTTTTTTTTTAAGCAGTTTTATGCAGTTTGATCTGTGCCCAAAGTAGCCAATAAACGCATCGCCTGACTAAGGGGCATGTCTCCAAATAGAAACTCTGACGTTGTAGATCAGCAGTCGCCAGCGGGTGGTCCGTGGGCCACGGGCGGTCTGTGAGGACCGCTGCTGGGGATGATATCGTGTATAGCGTGCTCTCCACCCTCCGTGCCTTTGCAATCGGATTTTGTTCTTTATCCACTGCTTAAAGAAACAGCAGCCTCCTGGGAGCCCTGGGGTTTGAACTACAGTACACATAGTGCAAGTCTCATTTTAATACTTCTAATCCCACTCTGACATATAAAATTCATTAATATAAATTCCAAACAATGTTGGCTAAGCATTTGGCTAAAGAGACTACTAACCTGGGTTGGAATGTTGGCTCCAGCATTCTCTGGCTGTGTGAT